CTACGCAGGGGCCATGGCTGCACAGGAGCTTCGCTGGCTCACCTACCTGCTGACCGACTTGGGAGAGGTGCCTCGTTCTCCTCCAGTTCTGTACGTCGACAACAAGGCCATGCTGGCCTTTTGTCAGGAGCACAGACTGGAGCACAGAACGAAGCACATTGCTCTGCGCTACTTCCTTGCTCGAGAGTTGCAGCAGCGTGGCCAGCTTCGTCTTGCTTACGTGGCCTCTCAGGCCAACACTGCTGATGTCTTCACCAAGGCACTTCAGCCTTGTGAACATCAGCGTTTCTGTACTGTGTTAGGCCTTGTACCTACTGTGCCTCACTTGTTGACTTCTTGACTCTGCTTGTACTGTACTCTATATACTTATACCTGCATGCTTACACTTGCTAGGTTGTGTTCACTGTATTGTTTGCTTTCCTTTATATAACTCTGCATGTGAACTGGCCTTCTGGCCCTTTGCTTGTGCTCAGACTGTGTGGTGACTTTGTGATCCACCCTGAGTTTGCTTTGTCTTTCTTGACTGGTCTTGTGACCCCTTGTTCTCCCCCACTTTGCCTATGGGGGTGTGTCAAACATATATTTACTATAGTCGGTCTAGGCTGTAGTGGGGTAGTCCTTAGAGGGTACAACACTTATGTGTTTCCTACTTGTACCCTTCTCATTTCCTAATTCAATCATTCTTTCGTCTATCATTCTCACAGTAACGAGTAAGATTTGGTGGTGGAACACGAACCTCAACATCGACGTACTCGCCTGGAGCAAGTACTAACTCGCTGCTTTCTTGATCGGATGCTGCAGGTACAGGTTCAACTCCAACGAGACGACCCGAGTCAAGAATCTCCATTTCAGCGACGCGTTGTTCAGCTTCAGCGAGAAGACGAGCATCGCGTTCAGCAGGTGTCTCGCCCCAAGTTGTTTCATCAGGTTCGTCAGCCCCCCAGATGCCGTCATCAGTCGGCATGTTCGTCGGATCACCCCAACCTTCAACTGCAGCCATGTACTCCCGAGAGTTCTCAACATCATTCAAGCCTTGATCGTCAAAGGTCAACATGACGGCGGTAGCCGTGGTTGAAGACGTCGGGACAACTCCCTCACGTGGAACTGTATCGTCGGTGTAATCAATATCATCACGATGCTCCCAAGGACCAAGCGAGAGAATGTTATCAGAGTCAGCAGTAGTACGCTCAGGTATGAAGTTCAAAACGAAAACACCGTTTTGCTCAACTGCCGTGCCAAGTTTCTTTTCACCGTATTTCAGAGTGAATTTTCCAGGTTCACCGAGAAGTATAATCCCGTTCTTCATGAGCTGTGCAGATGACATGAGGTTGAAGCCAAGCCGAGGGACCAGAAGAACTTCGTTCAGGTGAAGACTGAAGTCTTCTTCAACTGAGTCCAGAACAATACTTCCCATCCAGTGAGCTGTAAGTCGTTGGTTATTGGCGACCGTGACGACAACGGGATTCTCCAGACGGCGTTGATTCACGATGAAACGCGTCTCTGACGAACACATGTGCTGACCGCAGCAACTGTCGAGGTACCAAGTATTGGGACCTGCAATGGTATGTGCAAGATTTGCATAGACCTCAGGTGGAATCGGTGTGTTGAGTTCGTTGTTGAACCGGTTGTGAATCCGCTCTTCAGCATCAGGATCATAAACCGTTGACACTGATGTCATGCAATTAATAACTGCTTTTGTTTGTGTCTTGGCATGTGCAGTAGTCGGCTTCGCAGAGTTCAGCTTCGCAGTATTCTGCTTCTCAGCGTCCGGCTTCTCTGCTTCCGGCTTCTCTGCTTCACTTGAAGAATCTTTATTATGTTTCGAAGCAGACCGCTTCCAAGATGGTTTGTCTTTCGACCAGCAGGTATCAATAGTGTGTCCTGGTTTTCGACAAAAAGAACAAACGGGCTTGTGACGTGGATTATAATAAAAACTGACTGTATTGTTTACCATCTTTTTCCCTCCTCGAGCGTTGTGCAGATCCATATCCTGCTGCTCGGCGATGAGAGCGGCACAGAGTGCCCCCTCGGACAACTGTGCTTGCATCCGAAGTATAGAGCGACACTGTCGCCATTCTGGTCCAAGACCCACAAGTAGCACCGTGTGGAACATAGCGTCGGGGAAGTACCCTCCACACTTCTGAAGTTGATCGCGCAGATTTCGAGCGCGGTTAATATACTGCGTCACCTTCTCGCCGTTTATCATCTGTATATTTGACAGCTGCGTCAAAATTTTACTCTGGTTGACAGTATCTTTTGCCATGTGAACCCCTTGCAGGTATAACCAAGCTGCTTCAGCGGGAGCGACACTGTTACGAAAAGAACGAATTCCGAGCTGTTCAGTCGGAGTCAGATTACGAACGAGAACTGTGTATGCAGTCAGCGACGCCGATCGAAAAGTGGCTTGTTGAAGTGGTGACCCGTGTGATGGAAATGGTGCTGTGCCGTCATACAGCTGCCAGAACCCCGCGGTCTGAACAAGAAGCTCAAACTCAAAGCTCCAAGTATAAAAATCTTGACCGTTAAAAGGCATTGTCGTTTTGATTTTTGTAGGATTTGCAGAAGCAGGAATATAACTTCCGGTACCGTCAGCTGATTGTAGCTGATAGAGTGATGGCGCTTGTGACCCTTGTTGTGTTTGTTGTCCTTGTCCAGCAGGACCAAAGGAGAAAGAGTTGTTCGACCCATCACTTCCTTGTGGCATCTGACCACGCTGATAACTGGAGCCATCAATGCTCATCGGAGTTGGAAACATCTGGTTAAGCGACAAGACGGCAGCATTAACACGTTGTTGAAGATTTGCTGGTTGGTAAGCACCTTGATATTGGTAAGGTCCAGTCGGAACGAAGTTAGACTGTTGTCCCGGTTGACTTGAAGAACCAGGGACTGCAGCTGCAGCTGTTGAGGCTGCTGATGCTGCTGTCGCGGCGGCTGCTGTCGATGATGCCGCTGCTGTAGTTGTGTGTACGGGCTGACTGCTCAATGGCATGCCGTACATCGGTTGTTGCTGATATTGTTGTTGTTGTTGTTGTTGTTGCTGCAGATGTGAATTATCAGCAGCTGGAGACGCAGTTGGGCGTGATGGGCTCGTAACAGAAGAGCCATTGTTGGACCTTGGAGATCCAGACGTAGTTGTAGAATAGGCAGATGGAAGCTGTTTTAATCCTAAGTTGCTCTCATACCATATTGGAATTTAAGCTGTCTGAATAGGATCGTAGTCTTAGGATAGTAGCTTCCTGTAGCAGTGGAAGTCTTTTTATATGAGTGACTTGTAACAGGATCAAAGGTCTCTGAAATCAAGTATATAATAAAATGACAAGCATACAGAATATATAACTAGACTAAAGTGCCTGTTCGCCTACTGTGCTGTATTTATTCGCGTTATTCCTGTTCTGAAAAGGTACGTGACTATTCGCGATACCTACAGCTACTGATGACGTCATCCTAAGGCGCGTAGCGCTTTGCTGACGTCAGTCTATCGGTACTTTTACTGTACTAACTATACGAATTCCTTGAAGTGCATAAGTCTCGACATTATCTCAACAAAAGCAAGGCGCACCATCACTTTGACTCAGTCACATATGGTGCACCAGGTCCTTTAGCGCTTCGGCTTTCAGTTCTCCTCGACACGGCGCACTCCTCTGCCTACAGCGCACTCCTTTGGGATTCTGACATAGCTATCCCCCACTTCGCCTATGGGGGTGTGTCAAAACATATATGTTTATGTTTACTTCAGCTGTAGAGGGTTTAGCCTTTTGGAGGGGGTACAACACTTCTCTCTACTTACCGTATGACCCCGGATATAAGTGCAGGCCTATTAAAAGCGCATGCGCTTATATCTGGAGCAATGCGCTTATGGCTGATCCTCATTTATAAGCGCACCCTTATAAAACCCTGATATATTATAAGCGCATGTGTACGTTTATTTTTAAATCCTTGATTAAAATGGTAACGAATTTCAATTTTGCAGTGAGGCCACAACCATTTTCGCTTAGGTTGACTCTCAAGAACCTCACATCCTGCGCGTCCAGTCAGCACGAGCTGGCACGCCCTCAAAGTGAGGTGTTACAATGTACTTTGCCTCTGTGCGCCGGCAGTGAATCGCCCTACATCCAATGTACTTTACAATTTCGATTCGATTGAAATCGCAGGGATGAGATGTACGATTTCGTGTTTTTAAATTATGTATATGTAATTGTTATTTTTTAAGCGCATATGCTTATATTTTTTACTCAATTATAAGCGTACCCCCCTAAAAAACCATGTTTTATTATAAGCGCAGGTGCGCTTATATCCGGGGTGATACGGTAGTACTTCTACCCCCCTTTGACCTAATGCAATCATTCATTCCTAATTTGACAACCGAATACCCAACATACCGTACAAAGTTACTGTATCTACATAACAAGCACCTCATACACTACTTGTAATTTGGTAGAACTTAACACATAACCAGTGCAGTACACTAGAAAGTCCATTGGATGGAGGGTGACTGGGAGTGTGAGAACGATGCTGTGTCCATTGGTAGATTGTCCCTGTTTCTACTTACCAGCATCGCACTCTCCACGTTCGTGTCGCCGACTCACTCTCAGTGCTGCACTACGCACGTGAGACTCACTCGTGTCCTTGAGATCGCACCCCCCTTGCTCATTCGCTCTTAAACGCCGAAAGCGGACAGAGACATGGAAATCAAGTGCACCTTCTCCTGCTTTTGAGGCGCCTGATAAACAGACTCTTACAAGCCCCGGAAACAGACAGAGAGCTGTGAATCAAACATATCGCCTCTGGCCCCCTTGCCTTTTCTGCTATCATCTCCCTCTCCTGCACCTCTTGCATCTGCTGCATCGCACCCCCTGCTCGTCCACTCTTACACTCCGGAAGCAGACAGCGAGGTGAGAATCAAATGCACTGCCTCCTGCAGCCCCTCCTCCTCCACATTCCACTTCCTCAATACGCTGCACCTGCACCTCTGTACGCTGCACCCTTTTGCAGCCCTTTTACTATGATTGAAGCAGACCCTTCCCCTTTTTTTTCACCTCCTCCTCAATACGCTCCACCTTCCCCATCACATCCTCACTCTCCTCACTCAATTCCCCTCCGCTCACCGTTCCCCCTGCTTCTGGCGTTCCGTATGCCGTTCCACCAGCACCCTCCCCTGTACTGCTGCCACCACCAGCACTACCAGCAACAGCCCTACCAGCAGCAGCACCAGTACCACCAGAGCTACCACCATCACCAGACGTAATGAACGTAACGATACTCTCCATCCCAGACTTGACTGCCCGCTGTTGCTGCTGCTGCTGCTGCTGCTGCTGCTGCTGCAGCAACATCTTCACTGAAATGCCCGAGTGTGCAGACTGTATTGTAACAATCTATGAGCACACCACAGGTAACACCACAGCCGATCAAACCGGTGAGCCTGCATTTTCATCCGGGGCTGCAATAGCTTTGGGATTCACGCTCGCAAAAGTCACCCCAGGCACGCCGAAGCTCGGAGCCTTGCTTCGGAAACCACCCGAGCCCAGCAGCCCCTCTGCCAGTTTCGTCGCTCCTTTCGTCGCTCCTTCCGCCAACTTGGTCGCTCCCTCCGCCAGCTCACTTATATCCACCAGATTCACAGCTCTGGCCCTGGTGCTCCCATCCCCTTCCCTGTAACTCCCCCCACGCATGTTCTTCAGCATCGACTTCAGCCGACCAGATCGGCTCTTCCCATCTCCCGACCCTTCACCTCCTTCCTTCCCTTCGCCCTCTCCCACTCCCCCCGAGCTGCTCCCAGTTGCCATCTGCCGTAGCTGCTGGGATTGAATCTTAGCCAGGTTCTCGTTCCACCGCCAGATATCCCCGTCCATGTCCTTGGACCACTCCGGGAGCTCGCGCTTTTCAATGAAATGCGCAATCACACGGAGGATACGAGGATCTCGGAAGTACGCGCCATGGTTCAGGTCGAAACGCCCAGTGAGCTCTCCCATTCGCTCCTCGATCATGACGCACAGCTGCTGCAACTGCCGCTCAAACTCGCGCTCGCTCAGCCGGGGGTTGCGCCCGATTTTGTTCATTTGGGACTTGAGCCGCTGGAAGGTCTGCGACTGCTCCGCTATTATTGCCAGCTCCTGATCGTCCCACAGAAACTCGTACACTAGCTTCTCTCTGCCACTGTCTTCTGGTGCTTCCAGCACAGGCACCATTCTCTCCTTTTGAGTACTTGGGTGCTGCTGAGACTCAGAGGAAGCAGCTAGCCCTGGGCTTGAAGCGGCGGCGTCGGATACAGCAGCAGCAGTAGCAGCAGCAGTAAAAGAAGCTCCCTCCTTAACACCCCCCTCCTCCATTTCCTGCGCCACTGCTGCTGCTTCCATAGCAGGCGGGGTAGAGAGACGGTCTTGCTCATCCCCTCCTTCCTTGGCGCCACTTCTCCCTGCCATTCGCCTCTCCACCACGCTCCGAAACCCCTTTCGAGGTGGCTTCTGAGGGGACTCAACAGCCCCTGTAAGCCGCATTTCCACCACGTCCCGAAACCCCTTGCGCTTGTGAACCCCGTCCTTGCTCTGATTCAGCTCCACAGACGTAGCAGCAGCAGCAGCAGCAGCAGCAGGGCGGGGAGAGCGGAGAGGAGAGCGCAAGGCGTGGGGGTGGGGGGAGTGTGATACGGGTTCCATCCACTCGGGTTGCTCCACTGTGTCATCCTCATAGCCGGGCATCAACTCTCCCTTGAGCGACTTGGTCTTTGCCTCTGCCAGCAGTTTCTGGAAGGGTGGGGAGAGGAGGAAGGACAGGCGACAGCAGCGGAGAGGAAGGGTGAGTGAGGTGGTTGCGAGAGGCAAGGATGAGAGCGCGAGGAAGACGGAAGAGAGTGGGAGAGGGAACTGCACTTTGCCACTCGGGGTGTTTCACTGTGTCATCCTCATAGCCGGGCATCAACTCAACCCTCCCTTGAGTGACTTGGTCTTCGCCTCTTCCAGTAGTTTCTGGCGAGAAGAGGGGAGAGTTGAGGAATTTCTAAACCGTTTCATAAGTAAAACAACAGTGGGGTTGGAAAACTGTTATCCCTGCGATTTTCTGGTCAGTATTTAGGCTTCTACAAATATGGTCGTTTATGTTGACACGGTGCTCCAGACTATCCATGGTGAATTCTAGCAGCAGGAAAGACATGTTTGCATCATGATCATCCCCACTGGAGTTGGATTATTTGATGCACTGAAAGGCATCCACAACTGTTTCCACTTGCTCGCTTGCATGCATATTTGTGTTCGGCTACGTGTTACCTTAGTTAGGAGTTGACGTTTTTTAAGTCACGTTTACGTGAGAGGAAAACTGATAACGGAAGTGACTTGCACGAGTGAAGCGAACTTTGCACACCAATTCCGCATCATGACTGCCATCGGTATTGTTAGAGCAGGCGGAAAAAAAAGCATCTATCTCGGATATGATTGTGATGTGACGTAGTTAGTTGAACTCAGAGGATTCGAATATTCGACAGGGGGGTGATAAACTGCTATCGAAAGTTCAAATGACCAGCGTACAAGGGGAATTGGAGGGAAGGAGATAAACAGGAGGGGCTTTCAGGCAGGGGGGAAGAAAATAGTCGAAAGAATAAGGGGGGAACGAGATGCGCAAACTCGTTCCCGAGTCGGGGGAGAGAGATTTGCGCGACAGGGAATCCCGAGGTACGGAGAAGTGCGAAAGGGGTTGCGGACAGGAAGGAGCACAATGATTTGCAATAACTGTACGAAACATATAAGAGTTTCGGTTTGAAACTTAACGTGTATGATTGGCACAATATTTGCAAATCCAGCCAAGATTAGGGTACAGCTTAGGATAGCAGGTAATCAAAACTTCACGTGCTCGTTACAAGGGTGACAAAAGCACGTGATATAAACCCACCTGCACATTCCATTGGTCGACTTGTTGCGAGGACAGGTCCAAATCCAGATGCTCGTCCACATAGATATACGCGTGGTTCAGATCCCCCGACGACAGCCCAAAGCTGATCGTCACCACCATCTTTTGAATCGTCCCCGTGACGATGGGCGCGATGATGTGAGAGCACACAGACATGATGGCCGCTGGGAGGAAGAAGAGTGTGTCCCACACGAGAATGATGGCGCAGTGGAAAAGGAAGGCCCACCAATCCACCTGGCGTGCGTAGCGGGTTGGGGGCTTGGGGAAGGGCGCCCAGGGGGTCTGCTTCAGGAGTTTTGTCAGGTGGGGGAAGACGTAGGCTCGCGTGATTGGCTCCATGGATAGCGCTAGACTGGCCTGTTGGATTGAGAGGGTGGTGGTGGTGATGCCAAATGAAGGGAAAGAGGGAGGGAAGAGGATAGAGTAAAGGGACGAATGGAGTCTGAAAGAGTAGGCCTGGTAGCCTTGGCTTTCCGTCGCAGCTTCTTGAAAACAGAATGGGAAAACGTTATCGTAACGGTGCAAATCTCAGCTGGAAAGGAGAGGAGAGGCAGCGGGGAGAAAAGCAGGATTGCAAGTGTCGCAGGGAGAAGTGGAGGGAGCCAAGGGGAAAGGGCGATGATGGAAAGACACGAATGCAGAACTCCAAGGGAACCCCTCCAAAGTTGATGGGAAGGCAAGTTTGCTCACCTCATCCAGTTTTCCCGCATGGATAACAAGGGCGGACATGGCAGGGGACCAATCAAAGGCCGGGTTGTGGTAGAGATTGCCGCTGTAGAACACTGTGTTTCCCACGGCCTGGTGTGGGGGGCGGGGGGAAGGGAGGAGGGATAAGACAGTGAAGGATAGTAAACGGTTGGGTTGTGGTAGAGATTGCCGCTGTAGAACACCGTGTTTCCCACGGCCTGGGGGGGGCAGAGGAAGGGTTTGGAGTGGAGGAGAGGAGAGGAAAGACAGAAGATGGGGAGAGAAGCCGAGGAGAGCAGGGGTCAGGGTAGAGAGCGACTGAAGCTATGGAGCACAGTTCATGACTCCTGTTGCGGTGAGGAAGTGCTGACTAATAAGTCGGCTCAAATGTGCCCCTGCCCTGTGCTAACAGCCACATCTATACTCTCATATGCCATATACTCAACTGACACCCATGCCACCCTCTACTCAAACCCATGTCTCCCTCGACTCACACCCATGCCTCCCCTCGACTATGATGGATTATACGCTTTGGAGCTTAAGCGTTTAGCGTTTGTACGCTACCGTGTACACGCTAAACACGAAACGCTAGCGAAAACGCTATACGCAGCCCAGATTTTTTTCGGGGCTGCCCGCCTACCCAAATTTTTTCGAATAGCTCAAAACCAGCAGAATTGCACGACAAGCAATTCTGTGAACTCAGATTGCACGTCAAGTGTCTGTCGTGGCTGGAAATTGGATTCGTGACCTGGAGTCGCGTTTATCACCTTCACATTTTGCACGTTCAGAATTGCATGGTCAAGTATGTCGAGTCGCGCAAGCACGTTGCCACAATTCAATCGCTCCGCTTCACCGCATTCAAACACATCATCATGCTATTAAGCCACTCGTCAAAATGTCAATCTCATTCGGTTTTCACCTCCTGCTAGCTAGTTAGCATAGCACGCTCCTACGACTATGTCCTCCTCTCCATCTCCCACGTCGCCTTCCGTCCAGACTGTGGAGAGTGCGAGGGATCCTCCGGCTGCGTCACGGGAATACCTTCCCGATGTAGAACACCCAGTGTTTAAGCACTTCAGGCTCATCAAGCGGGAGGGCAAGGCACAGCAGTACGAGTGCAAATACTGCCCCCTTGTCTTCTCTGGTGCCGCCTCCCGTTGCGCTCAACACCTGACGTCATGGAAGACCGTGAAGCGCCGGGAGGTGACACTTTGCAAGAATGCCCCGGCTGATATTCGCCTCGCGATGAAGTCCAAGTACGAGAAGCAGGCCGTAGATGCAGAGGAGAGGCGGAGATCGACTGATTCTGCGATTGCCTCGGTGACACCAAGTGGGAAGCGGTCCCGCATAACCGACTATCTCGCGGGCGACGCTGCATCGGCAAGACGCGAAGCACATCAGTCGCTTGCGCTGATGTTTGCGGGATGTCACATCCCGGAGCAGATCGTTCCATAGCGAAAACTATGTTCCACCAGGCCGGAAGTACATCGGCGGTAGCGGTCTTCAAGCATGCCGCCGTGGCATCGAAAGCGGGTTGGTGGGCATCAAAGCAAGCTGGAAAAAGGTTGGAGTAACTGTCGCGTCCGACATGATGACGGACAGAAACGGGAGGCTGCAGGCAAATGTCTTCCTCGTTAACGACGCGGGCGTCGAGTTGCATGTGTGCGAGGACTGCAACATGGAGAAGAAGACAGGGGAATACATTGCGGGGTTACTAAAGCCCGTGGTGGAGGAGGTGGGGGCGGAGAACATCGTCGCTCCAACTACGCGGTTGTGTGCCAGACCTTGGTTGCAGAATGGCCCCACATTCAGGTTGTCCCTTGTGCGACCCACGTCCTGAATCTCCTCATGGAGGATGTGGGGAAGCTTGGGTGGGCGAAAGGGGTGGTGGATCGGGCTGGGGAAATGAGTTCATTCGTCCGCAACCACCACTGGACGCGGGGGTACTTGCGGACGCCGGAGCTGGTGGAGGGGTCCATGATGCAGGCGTTGAAGCCAACCGGGACACGCTTCGGGACACAGCATATAAACTGTTTCCCGCCTGTGTGCCCTTCGTTATTCCCTTACCCAGATGGTGCTCTCCGACCTGTGGAAAGATTGGGCGGTGGGGGATCGAAAGAAAGCAGCGGAGGGGTTTGCCGCGCAGGTACTCGATGCGGCTTGGTGGAAGACCGCCGAGTTCTTCACAAAGCTCATGAAGCTCCCCTTCATCGCGATGCGGCAGACGGATGGGAGCGCAAAGGGGATGATGGGGCGAATGTACGACATAATGCTCCAACTTACCGAGGATGTAGAGGCCCTTGTCGACGCGGATGAGGAGCAGTTGTCCAGCACCGACAAGCAGCAGATCCGCCACATCCTGAAAAACAGGTGGGACGGGAGTCTTGCACGCGCCATGCACGTGGCGGGACGCATCCTCAACCTCGCCAACCAAGAGGACATCTTCGACGGGGATGCGGAATGCACAAGGGTGTTCAAGGCTTTCCTCTCCAAACATGCGAAGTTCCTCACCGTGCGGGAGAAGGAGGGGGGTGATGAGTGCGACTATTTGCTCGCATTGGGGGACCAGCTGAGGTCTTTCCTTGACCTCAAAGGGAGTTTCGGGATGCCTGAAGCCATTTCACGGAGGGAGAAGGTAAAGGCGAGCTCTGACAGCATGGTTAAGTGGTGGCAGTGTGGCAGTGGAACGGGACGGATGCGCCGCAGCTGTCGTCGCTCGCCGTAAAGGTTCTCTCGCAGCCCGTCTCGGCATCTCCGGGTGAGCGTGGATGGTCGGAGTGGGAATCAGTCCGCACTGCGCGACGGAACCGCCTCGGATCCGCTAAATGCTCGGATTTAGTGTACGTCACGCACAACTGGAACGTTGTGTGCGGATGGCACACGCGCCATGAGGTGATGCCATCAGTTGTGCGCGGGAATGAGGTGGAGCCGCCCATCCCCGTTGGCTACAACATCGTGGATGATATGGAGGAGGAAGGTGAGGACGAGGTCTTGGCGGACGAGTATGAGTAGTAGAAAGGGAACCCGGGTCAAGAAGGGGGTAAATGGTGGTGATAGGTAGAGTAGACTAGGTAGTAGCGAGGCACATTGATGTTCTATGTATGGCCGTGTGAAAATTTTTGTGTGTGGGAAAATTTTCTGCAGAAACACATCCCACCAGAACCCCCCCTTACTGCACTCCCGGAAGGTTTTTTTGCCCTGCCCGGGAAAGTTTTTTAGCTGCCCAGAAAAGCGTATCCTGGATCAGACCCCACTCGCGTTTAGCGTATATACACTAGCGTATATACGACACGCGTATATACGCTAAACGCGTATAATCCATCATAGCCCCTCGACTCACACCCATGCCTCCCCTCGACTCACACCCATGCTTCCCTCTACTGAGTACAGTACACTCACATCCATGATCTGTTTGATGAGGACTAGAAGCATGACTGAGGTTGCGATCAGGAAGTGAGGGCCTGACTGGGTGTAGAAGCTGCGGATGGGTTGCGATAGGAGGGGGGATGGTGGGAGAAGGGGTGGGGGGTTGGATGGCAGAAAGGAAGGGGGGCACACGGGAAGGAAAGGTTATGGTGAGGAAATGAGGGCCCGGTTGGGTGTAGAAGCTGGGGGTGGTGAAGGGTAGGGAGGAAATGTGTCAAGAGGGTGATGAGGCAAAGGGAAAGAAACAACACTTTGAGAATGTGAGGGTACACTGGGTGTAGAAACCGGGGCGATAGGGAACAATGTTGCAAGAGGTGGATAGAAACGATGCAACGATTAAGTGAGGGGTGCAGGACTGTGTGTAGAAGCTGGGGGCGACGAGGAAGAGAGGAAAGTGAGGTTGGAGGAGTGAGAGGAGGCATGGTGTGTAGGCGATAATACAGATATATATCGCTCACCACCACCACCGACAGCAACCCGCCAGCCAACCACTACAAAGACATGTCTCTCGATCTGCTAGCGTGTAGGCGATGACAGAGATAATACATCACTCACCACCACCACCGACAGCATCATCCCGATACAATCCCAGGCAGAACAAAGACAGCAACCCACCACCCAACCACTACAAACAGCACTGCACCCAATCCAACCAGCACAGAGACAGCAGCACCGCACCCAACCACTTACTCTTGAAGCCGACCGGCAATGAGCAGAACGATAAACTGGATGAAGGACGTATAGGCGATGATGAAGACATACATCAGCGCCACCGAGAAGAGCAAGGACAGTGCAAACCACAGCAGCCCGTTGCGCTGCCACTTTTTGATGTAGAAGGGCGTGCCGAGGAAGACAAGGGCGCCGAGGGCGTTGGTGATGGGCGAGGTGGCGTGGCGGAACGCCAGGAAGCGCCGCTGCCGCACCGCTGGGAGGCGCAGCAGCGAGTCCAGCCACTGCTGGTACGCCCACGGGTAGCTCTCCTTCACTCCCGCGGTTTTCTGTCCGTTGAAACTGTAGCCGGTGGGGGCGAGAGGGATATAGGATGGTTTGCCCAACTCTATGTACCCCACTTTCCACATTTTCCCCACTCTACATTCGTGGGGCCGAGAGAGATATAGGGTGGAGTACATTTGTGTTGGTGTCTTAATCCACTCCACTCATGTTGATTGCTCAATCTATCACATAAATCCCCACTTTGGGTGTCTTTCCAATTACAGATTGCGACCAATCATGGTTGGTATGTCAACTGCTTTTTAATGAACGAATGCAATATTTGCTTATTTTCACCAAAATCTTTACATATAAAGAGCAAAGTAATTCCTATTAGAATTGAAACATTCACGCACTTTCTCCTCCCTCCCTCTTTCCTTCCTCATGACTGACTCCCTCTCACCCTCGGATCACACCTCACTCTCGGAATACAACCCACAGAACACAACTATCCCTAAAAAAAATCAATCCCTCGAGACAACTCACCCTCGGTACACGACGAGGAAGGGGAAGAAGCGCCACCAAGAATTGCTCATGTCGATGCGCCGCCACTTCTTGATCAGCTCGTAGCTCCGCTTGTGCGACGTCCAAAACCGCGTCGCCACCGCCGGGTGCCACTCGTCCTTCTGCCGTCGCCCTAGCTTCGCCATGTACTGTTGGGGGTGAAAAGGGGGGTGGGCGCGTGGGGGGGGGGGGGGGAGGGGGCGTGGGGCATGGGGAAAAGAGGGGAGCCATGTGGGAGTGCAGGGGGAATGAGGGGCAGTGTCATACACAAGGGAAGTAAAGGTTTATCCATTCAGTTCCGATTGAACGCCAAACCTAAATCATCTGAGTCAGTGCGTAGAAGGTTTTGCATCGAAGCTCTCGTTCCTCTTACCAGTTCGATCGTCTTGAGCATCACATTGCCGCCGTGAGAATGCGCCACTAGGTGGATCCGAGCCGCCGGGTCGTTCTGAGCAATTTGGTCGATCAGATTGTGCAGCTGAGGGAGGGGTGAACGGGGGCAGGCAAGGAAACATCTTCAATGTAACAAAAGGGGAAAAAAAGAAGGAATAACAATCTCGCAGTTGTGAGGAAAGCACATGGGAGGCCAACGGTTGGTGGGTTGAATGAAGAGGTTTGGGAGAGGCTGTAGGGAACAGAGCTCAACAGAGATTTAGGGAGGTATCCCTTGTGGCTCCTTTCATACCTGCCCGCAAACAACGCCTCTCTCGCCTAACCTCAAACTCCTTCCCCCTTTCTGCCTCTCACCCCCTCCCCCCTTTCTACAAAATAGTGCGCCGTGCTTGCAGCTTTACCCGCTCTGGGTGGTTGTGAGTTTACACGCAACACAGCGGAAGATGGGCGCGGGACTTGCGAAGCAGCGCAACTCTAGGGCAAAAAATGAAAGAAAAAACTTTGACGACAGATGCGGCAACTAAGGGTTGCGCTTTGCTGTCGGGCGAAACGAGGAAACCCTGACGACGCACGCCGAAGTGGAGTGGGTTTTAACTCTAACGATTATTCTAGAAATTTAGACACGGTTCAATCTAGGTCATAATCTTTCGCGTGCTGATTCGCGCACGTTTGTCGCCTCCACGCGTTACCACACCTGATGCGGCGGCGGCACCTCCTACGCACCTCACCGAAACCTTCCGCCATAGTCGCCAGGGAGAGCTTCGGATCTTTGTACTCCCTGGCGACATAATCTCCGAATATTTGCTACAGCGACGTCACCTCACACACCTCACCTCCCTTCCTCCCCCTCCTCCACTCACCTTCATCGCGGCGGTTACGCGGCCGGCGTGCGTGTTGGTGCCGTCCCAGTGGAACGGGTACGGGATTCCCGGGAGCGCGGAGCACGGCAGGTCGCGCCAGATGGCGTCCTCCCCGATGGGTCCCAGCGCGAGCAGCCGGCTGAGTTTCCGGCAGAAGTTCTGCTCGCCGGGAGGCGGCGGTTGGTACCACGTCGGCGCGCCGTCCGCCGGCGGCGCGTCGAACGTCCCGTGAATCACAATCACGTAGTGTTTCTCGCTGTCCGCGTCGAAATCCACGCGTCGCACGCGGATTGGCACCTCGATGTCTTTTTCTTTCAAGTCCGCATCCTCTCTGACGCCGTCGCCTTCGCCGTCCCAGTCGGCGCTAGCGTCGCCTGCGACTTTGCTTCCTGGACCAGAGAGCATTGACGATAGGCTGTTGGTATCGTGCAGCACTCCGTTCCGTTCCGCGTCACTGTCTGCTGACGTGCCGTCATTGCCGGAATCTTGCCGTGAACTTCGCCGATCGCGCGCGTCGCCGGACATTCCGCTTTCCCATGCGACTCCGGCGTCGTCGACGTCGGCGTGCGGCCTGCCTGCGACGTCGCTTCTATCCTCGCCAGCGACAACGGTTGTTGTCTGTAGTGCAGCGTTGTCGCCATCTCGTGACTCCACGAGTATCGCCAGCTGATCGTCCTCGATCCCCCTATACATAGCTGATAACGTATGCTTAGCCTTTTCGAAAGATATCGTTCAAACTTGCATGTTGAGTCGACTTGGAAGTCACCTTGCTATCGTTCAACCCTTCTGCGATGCAGGTTGCGTCGTCGCATAGCTATCGAGCCCCAAAAAACAACTGAGACGTGTCACGTATATGAGGATGTGCACGTTAGTAAGAAGCGACTCTTATCCGAAAAATGGAGTGTGACAATGCTGCGTACTTCTATCAGTACTGATAATGCAAGGCCGCCTTGGAGAATTAGCTTGATACTAGTTACGTGCAGCACAAAGTGTCGAAGTGATGGTGTGTGTTCTGTGCCAAGACTTGGCACGTAAGTCTAGAACTGGCACAACCAGGAACATCCTGCCGCTCGTTTTGAAGGAATGCGCCCCTTCTTACTGTACTGATTGACCCTTTTAGGACTCCGGTCCGAATTGAAAGGGCAGACGTTCCATGTAGAGTCTCTAAATTTGTGCTTCTGCTATGTGGGGGAATGGATGCTTTGTGTATGCTGATTACAGTACTAGCCAGCAAAGCAGGAAATATCTTCCTCTGCGAAATTTAGCCTTTCATGTTTCGTTGCACGGGCAGCAGTGAAGCCACGGTGCAGTACTCTGCCTATCGCTTTTGTTGAACGGGAGAGCACGTATACGGACATATGTGTCAACTCGGACGAGTGGGCTCTTTGTACAGCCATCCAACTACAGTGTCGTAAATCACACGAATGAAGTGGACAGACACCCCTCATACTTACCTCCTGAACCAATCTTGAACGCGGCCGCGATACTTTAAGATTTACAACGGTCACATCAAAATATAAATCGGTCGGGTAGGGTGGAAATTTTGTTGTTCAAAGCATCAAATGTTGTGCTGTCTCAAGCTTTGTACCACACCACGTGTCTGTCACCTTGTGCAGCTTGTTTCAACAGAACCAGGGCATCAAATGCAAGGGCCCTCCACACCGCTCATCCAATCATTGCCAGAGACCCTTGGGTTGGAACACAGCAGCCAATAGTATGGGACCCTTGAGTGCGTATTTTGAGGTATGAATAATTAATCAACTTTCAAACATTAATTAAGGGGAAACAAATTTTCATCAAATGAACTATAAACTCTCAGAACACACATTTGTAGACTCTGTTGCACAAAGAGCAATGCATCTTGGAATCAGGACAAGGCAGGCACAGCATCCTTAACTCACCTGCCTTCAAATAATGCACAATAAGTTTAGTATCATCTATGCGATACTGGGTATGAAGCCTCAAAGAATCAACTGGACCATTACCAACCAATATTGTCCAATACAGTGACCTTTCTTTGTCTCAAAACTTTATAGGAGGGTCCAAAAATCTATGTGAGGGCTTTAATCCATGGATGCTCTGTTGCGTCATTTAGTTCGCAATAACGGAGTTGTCCACACAGTTGCATGGTCGAGACATGGGGAAAGCAGAAGGGACGGGACACGGGGAAGGAATAGGGAGGGAGAAGGTTGGAGGGGGAAAGCCAAGCAAAGCGAAGCACAGCAGAATACAGTGGGAATGCTGATTCATGGGATAGAGCAAGCAAGAAAGCAGCATCACAAGCCCGCACACCAGAAACGACTCACTCAGTATCTCCGGCAGAACACCTTGGTACAGCACCCCACAGCACAGCACAGCACAATACAGTGGGAATGATGATTCATGGGATAGTGCAAGCAAGCAAGCAGCATTTACAAACAGCCCGCACATTAACAACGACTCACTTGGTATCTCGGGGACCGTGATCCGCCTGTCGAACCTCCGACACAGCACAACATGGCAAAGCACGGTACAGCACCTCACAGGACAGCACATACCGCGGGAACACTGATCGATGAAAGCGGAGTGAGCAGCAACGCAAGCAGCCCTGCTAGTAGCCCCAACAAACCAATGCCAACTCACTCAGTATCCCTGGGACCATGATCCGCTCGTCAAACCTCCAACACAGCACAATATGGCACACACCCATACGGTACCTCACACACAGTGGAAACACTGATGGATGAAAGGGGAGTGGGCAGCAACATACACAGCCCTGCTAGTATCCCCACGAGCACCCACCACACGCCAATGCCAACTCACTCAGTATCTCTGGGACGGTGATCCGCTCGTCGAACCTCCGGCACAGCATCCGCCGAACCAAGTCCTTAGCCGCGGCAGACACGTCCGGCCAAGGCTCGGTCTCGAGATCCAACGGCTCGTAAAGAATACTCGAGAAAATCTCCTCCGTCGAATCTCCCCAGAACGGCGGCAGCCCGCACAGCATGACATAGAGAATCACCCCTAAGCTCCACACGTCCGCTTCCGTCCCGTAATTCTTTGCGATGACTTCCGGAGAGATGTAGTTGGGAGTGCCGGCGCGCTGCGTGCAGCGCTCTCCTTCCTGGAATCGGTAGGCCATGCCAAAATCAATGACCTTCACGCGCGTGTCGCTGCGGGCTGAAACGAGCAGCACATTCTCAGGCTTTAAGTCGCGGTGCAGGATGTGGTGCGAGTGGCAGTAGCGAAGAACATCAGCCAGGGTGCGGCACACCTGTAAGGGTTAAAAAAAGGGGGGGTGGGGGTGGAGGGGGGGAGAAGCAAGAGAGCAGCTTGTCTTTGCGTGTTCACATCAAAGGCGCGTTCTCGGGCTTTAAGTCGCAGTGGAGGATGCGGTGCGAGTGGAAATACCAGAGCACGTTGGCCAGAGTGCGGCACACCTGTGCGTGTTTTCAGGGAGATTTTCAAAAGACAGAGCAGATGCGGGAGCTTGAGACGACTCAGAAGTACGGAGGCCTTGCAAGTCTTTGATACGTCTCACGATTAGAGTGAGACGCCTCAAATCTTAGCAGTACGGATACAAGAATGCCACCTGGTGGCTTAGTGAGTCTAATCACTCAAGAAATCCAGTGCATAAGACCCACCTGCGCCGCTTGTCGCTCGCTGAAGTGATTGTGTGCGACGATGCGGTCAAAGAGCTCTCCGCCCTCGCACAGCTCCATCACCATGTGCACGTCCTGGAGGGAGAGAGGGAGGCGGGGACGGGGAGGGGAAAAGCGTAGGCTTTACAACTTGAGCTCACTCAGTCGATGCGGTCAAAGAGCTCCCCGCGCTCGGCACAGCCCCATCACTATGTGCACGTGCTGGAGGGGAGGGGGAGGAGGAGGGGGAGATGAGAGGGGAAGAGATGGGGGGGAAGGTTCACAAGTGGTGTTCAATCAATCAACCAATGCGATTTAAGAGCTCCCCACCCTCACATCACACAGCTCCATCACATTGTGCACATCCCAGAAGGGGGTGGGTGCGGTGAGGGGAGACGGAGTGGGGAAGGTGAGGGCGGGAGGAAGCAAAAGGGGGGGGGTTGTTGATTGTTGACAGGGCATTTGAGGACTCTTGACCAAAGAACTCATCAAAAGAGCTCTCCGCACCCACACACAGGGGCAGTGAGTTCGTGGGAAATTGTTGTGAGTTTAAGAAGGCTTTAATCGAAGGTTGTTGAAAGTTTATGTGCATACAGGGGTTATGAGTACAAGGGACGAGGTTGTGAGCTTTAGGTGGTGGTTATTTGATGGAAGGCCTTGCGTCGCAATGTTATCCGTTCAGTACACGGTGTCAACTCACGGTGTCAACTCACGGTGTCAACTCACAGTGTCAACTCACGGTGTCAACTCACGGTGTCAACTCACGGTGGCATACACGGTGTCATATTCCACCATCGACCCACCCACCACCATGTCTTCTTCCTGTGTCAACTCACCGTGTCATCTTCCGTGCAACTCACCGTGTCATCTTCATACGTATCCACAAGCGACACAATGTTGGGATGGCCTTTCAGCAATCGCATCACCTCCACCTCCCTCCTCAGGTCCTCCAAGTCATCCAGGCACTGAAAGGCAGGCAGGGGAGCAGGAGAAGGGAAAGAGAAGAGGAGAGACGGTTGAGAGATCTGTTTCATAGTGAGCTTCATCCCGCGCTTGAGAAATCGCATCACCTCCACCTCCCTCCTCAGATCCTCCAAGTCATCCAGGCACTGGCACAGGCAGCAGCAAGGGGAGGAGGAGGAGAAGAGAAGAAGAGACGGTTGAGGGGCTTGGCCTAAACGAGCACCCCTTGAGCATCTGCATCACCTCCACCTCCCTCGGCAGATCCTCCAAGTCGTCTAGGCACTGGCAGGAAGAGGGGGCAAGACACGGGAAAGAAGAGGGGGGTCAGGGGGTCAGTGCCAATTGTACTCCTCACGTGAGTGCCCGCATCACCTCCACCTCCCTTCTCAGGTCCTCCAAGTCGCCCAAACACTGGCAGAGGCAGCAGGGGGAGGAGGAGGAGAAGAGAAGAAGCGACGGTTGGACAGCTTGGCCTTAACGAGCACCCCTTGAGCATCCGCATCGCCTCCACCTCCCTCCTCAGATCCTCCAAGTCGTCCCTCGTATGCACTGGCATGCAAAAGGACAAAGGGGGGAAAGCAGGGAAGGTGAGGGAGACAAGAGGCAAGACCGGTAGGTGAGGTGAGGGACTCAATGGCATTTCTCCCTTGAGCATCCGCATCGCCTCCACCTCCCTCCTCAGGTCCTCCAAGTCGTCCAGGGACTTGCAGGTAGGGGAGCAGGAGAAGGGGAAGGGAGAAAATCGTTCGCCAGACACCCAGTGCTTGCATTTAGGGGTGTATGCGAGGCCCTTCACCCAAATCGAGCCTCGGAAATCTCACC